CTATATTGTCTACAACTTATTCAAACTCTATGGATGTGGTTTATTATTAAAAATGTTTGCTGTGGAGATGGCACACTAAACACTCAGGAGGCAAAGGTAAATGTTTTCATGATAATTTTCTATCAAATTAGTGATAAACTGAATAGAAAGTATATCTTTAAGGAAACAGCTTCAAACATACATTCTTCAGCACTTTGCTGTTTCTTGTGTAAAGTTACATGCTATATGTGTGTGTGTGTGTGTGTGTGTGTGTGTGTGTGTGTATTTGTATATGTATATATGACATCTGATCTCAGGACTAGGGAAATAGCAGCTGAATTGGTTCAATTACTAATATAAAATATTTCATTTGTGGTTTGGAAATGATTTAGGATTTTATGTTTATTGCTTTTAGTGTTTTAAAATAAATTAGAGGCTGATAAACTTGAGCCTGTAGGTCAGATCTATCCTACACCTGCTTTGATAGGTAAAGCTTATTAGAACCTAGGCATAGTCATGTATCGTCTGTGTCTATGTAACAGGGTGTGAGACCCACAAAGTAAGAATATTTACTGCCTGACACTCTGCATAATAAGTTTGGAGGCCTATGAGAAGGCTTAGTGAGGAATAGTGATTGCTGCCAAGCTTGACCATCTGATTTAGATCCTTGGAACCCATGGTGGAAGGAAAGAACCAAATCTTTCAGGTTTTCTTTTGACTCTGCAGCATGGCACATCCACACCCACATATAAAATATTAATAAAAACAATAAAAGGCTCTAAATGCTTGAAGTCAATTATTATTTCTAGAATAAAGTATGAGGACTTATTTGAAATTTCCTTTCTTCCATATTTATTTATTTTTAAGTCAAACTATAATTTGATTTGTGTGAATGTGCACCCCCTCTGTGAGACACCAGAGGCTGAGTTGACACTGGGTATCTTCCTGCATTGCTCTTTATGCTGTTTTTTGAAGTGAAGCCTCTTAATGAATCTGGAGCTCACTAGACTAGACTGGCTGGCCAGTGAGCTCCCAGGATCCTCCCGTTACTGACTCTCAGTGCTGAGATTATGGGTGTGTCTTAGACACTATTCTATTGATGTGAAGAGACACCATAACTAAGGCAACTCTTATAAAAGGAAGTATTTAATTGGGAGCTTGCTTACTATTTCAGAAGTTAGTCCATTATCATTGTTGAGGGGATCATGGTAGCTTTGCAGGCAGACATGGTGATGGAGAAATAGCTGAGAGTTCTATATCCTGATCCATAAGCAGAAAGAGAGAGAGAGAGAGAGAGAGAGAGAGAGATGTTTTTGAACCTTAAAACCCACCCCTAGTGAAACTTTCTCGAACAAAACCACACCTCTTAATCCTTCTAATCCTTTTAAATAATATCACTACTCCTGGATGACTAAGCATGCAAATATTTGGGCCTATAGGGGCCATTCTTACTCAATCCACCACACAAGTATGAGCCACCAAACTTGACTCTTTTTTTAAAAAGTTGGGCTGAAGATCTGATCTCAGATCCTCATAAATGCATAGCAAGTACTTTACTTGCTATAGCCATGTCTCTAGCCTGTCAAATTATAATTTTGCCAGTGCATATAACACTGTCTAAAGAATATAACCAAATACAGAAATAGGAGAAATACAAATCCTGGTATTATAATCAAGAGTCCTTTTTATAGGGGTGCTGACTGCCAAAAGGCTCTGCCTCCTAAGTCCATATATTGGGAAGTGGGATTTCAGCATATGACTTAAGAGATGAGGTTCTCCAAACATTCAATCCACATTTCATTACATTTTGATAGATTTGGTATGTGAAAATTTCTAAGTGTTAGAAAGAAAGTATGCTAACAAAACAGGTCATTTGAAAAAATGTCAGGTTATCTAAAATGACAGAGAGTAACCATGATAACACTTATTCCGCCTTAGTCAGGGTTTCTACTGCTGTGACCAAACACCATGACCAAAGAGCTTGGGAGGAAAGGGTTTACTTGGCTTCACTTCCACAGCACTGTTCATCATCAAAGGAAGTCTGATGTGGGATGCCCCTCTGTATGCTGTGAATACATTTTATTACCATTGGTTAGCAAGGAAGCTGATTTGGCCAAAAATTGCTAAGGTACAGACACCACTTCTCAGAAAACATTCAAGTGGGAAAAGATAAACTCCACAGTTCCCTGGTGAATGTGTTTTCAGAGATGGATCTGAAAAACCAAGAAGGGTCATATCCTTCCACCTCAAAGAAAACTTTTGATTTTCTTCTTCCAAAGCTGGCCCTAGTCAGTTTTTATGAAGACCTTCAGTTTAATCTCAGGACCCTTTCACCACTTAAAAATTCTTGTCACCAAGCAGTACGGCATTCTCCTGCAGTCCCAGGTATTTAAGAAAATGAGGGAAGAGGATCACTTGGACCTAGGAGTTTGGAGACGGCCTGGGAAACATAGTGAGATCCTGTCCCTCAGAAAAATGTACATAAAGTTGATAACCCAAAGGGGTTTTGTTTATAATATATATAACTATGTATACAGTTGAGAAAGATTTGTTTCAAGTTACTCAATAGATTTTTTAAAGTAATTTTAAAATGTAAAAAGTAACTGAACATGTTATTCATGGGAATAACAATTTATGAAAAATAACTTTTGAAACAAAAGCTTTAGCTTTTAGTAAGTGTGGTATTGTATATTTTTCAAGTCTCTTAACATCTGGCTTAACCAGGAGACAGCTATATTTTGATATATGCTTTCCTCTGTCAGTATATGATATAAGTTCTATGAATTCTGGGAAACTCCAGTACACCAATGAGAAAAAAAACAAAGAAGGCAAATGACAAGTCCTTGGTATCTTCGTGATAATGCTTAGTGCCATTTTGTGAGACAGACATGTCTGAGAACTGTATTTTGTGGCTGGCTGCTGTGTAAGCATCACAGAACACTTGCAGAGCTGGTTACCATATCACCAGGATACAACCTTGTTACATAGTTGAAGACTGCAGTCTTGTGCTCCTGAGTTTCCTGAAGGGTCTGAGGTCCACTCTTCCACACTCTGAGAGTTGACGTTCTCGAATAGAAAACAGACACTGATTAATGTTGAAATGGCTGGGTCTACTCTAGATCTATTCTATGCCTTGAAATTGATGGGATTCCTGATAGATAAACAAAAGAAACACTTCATTTATAAACTAGTAATTTATATAAAGTTTTTTATCTCAGGCCAGGTGGTGGTGGTGGCGTATGCCTTTAATCCCAGCACTCAGAAGGAAGATCTCTGTGGATTCAAGGACAGCCTGGTCTACAGGCTGTTTCAGGACAGCCAGGAACCCTGTCTCAAGAAACAACAAACAGCAATCTCAGTGCTGTGATCACACCCAGAGCCTTGGATATAACAGACAAGCACTATTCTACCCAGCTATCATCCTGCCCTCAGCCTCTTTTACTAAATTTCCATTGAAACTTAGCAAGACTAAAACTATTCTTTAAATTCTACAGACACAAATTTTAATAAGTGCTTTTAAAGAAAAGATAGAGACAGAGTGCCTAAGAAACCTCTCTGAAGAAGTATCATTTGCGTCCAAACCTAACTAATAAGAAGATAGCCAAATGCAAGGGGGTAGAGTAGGGCCTTTAAACTCGAAAGTAACCTATTAGAGCAGGTTAGAGGGTTTATTAGAGCAGTGAGTGTTGGCTCACATCTGTGGTCCCAGCACACTAAGGAGGAAGCAAGAGGATCAGGAAGTCAAGGTGATTCTCGCCTACAAAGCAAGTTTGAGCCCAGTCTCAGCTATGGGAGACTCTGTCCCCCAAACAACAGTAGAGTTGCCTGTTTTTTGTTTATTCTTCCCACCAGGAAAAAGGCTCCAAAGGACAGACGTTGTTGTTGTTTTCCTTTCTTGTCTAGCAGATGCTTGACACATAGGAGATACATATGAAGGCACATGGGAGATACATATGAAAATATTTTTGAACATGCTTATGACATTTGAATTGTATGTCTATTGTATTCGAATTGTATATGTATCGTAGTTGACTATGTACATGAAAACTTGAAAAGTCATAGAACATAGTGGGTAAAGGGGAGAATGGTCCAAAGTAAGTGAGGAAAACAGACTTTTCAGGAGGTCTCAGGCACGGGAAGGTGTGCTGCATGGGGAAGTATTTAAGGCATATTTCACTTTAGCTCCATGGGAAGTGGCTGGAAGCGGAGCAATAGAAGAGGTCAAGGCAGTTAGGCTTCTTTGGCTGAGAAATGAAGATGTGGAGAAAGGCCACGGCGATGGAAACGGAGAGGAGACAGACAGTGTGCGTCTGCTATTAGCACTGACGTGACTTGCTAATGGAATTACAGACAGACTTTTGGGTTTAACGGCTCTCTTTACAAGCTTCCAGATTTACAGTGATGTGAAAATGACAGTCACCCAACTCTCCCTGAGTGTACAAGGCTAAAAACTGAACCCAGTTTAAGGCGGGCAAGAATGTAAAATAAAAGTCCTTGTTTTAGGTGTACCTTGTAAGTTTGCTTTCACTAAGATGGGCTGTTGGCGGCGTTGGCTGGAGTTTGACAATTGTCAGACCCTGCCTTTGAGTTTAATTGCTTGCTACACGGCCACATCAACTCACCAGAATCTCTTTGAGTGATTCAAACAGACCACGTCTCTCCGAGCGAACGCACGTGCATTCAATTTTGAGATCACGGAGTGAAAGAAATAATAGTTAGGGCTTGCTTGGGTTCAAGTGCTGAGGAACAGGGGTAGGAAAGAAGCTATCTGTGCACACTAAGCCACACGGCACATTTTGCATTTTATAAACCGCATGCCATGCCTCCGTGAAGAGACTCAAGCACCTAACAGGGAGGGTACCCTGGCCAGCACCCTTTGGCACCAAAGCAGGTATGGAACCAGCGAGGGGCGGGGTCCCATCTAGCTCCCGCCAACAGACCCCGCCCCCTACGGGCCGCGCAGGCGCAGTGGCTCCGACGACTGGGGTCGGCCTCCAGTGACGTCAGGACGCTTCGCTTCTTCTAGCCTCCCAGCTCCGGAGTCCCTCGCGGGCTGGGGCGGGGCGTCCGGCCAGCTGAGCTCCTCAGGCTGACCGCGCCAGTTTGAATGAAAGCTCTGCAAGATGGCGGCGGCCGGAGACGAGGTCCCGAGAGGTGAGGCTGGAGCGCAGTGTCACCGGCCACCAGGTCCGCTCCCGAGGCCCAAGCCCAGCCGGACGGCGATGTGGGCGGGACGCCGCCGCGCGGACACCCCGAGCGCGGTACCCTCG